TGACCACCTCAAAAAAAATATATGTATCTTAGTAAAAGTAGATAGTAAAAAAATATTTTTCTGATGATACAATAAAAACCCGTTCCCCGCTTTTTGATGTCAAAAATTTTATTTACTTTTATGCATTTTCACCACATTTTTTACAAATTACAGCATTTTGAGTTGCACATTTTACACATACGTGTTTTTTACATTTTATACAAATTTTGTTTGTTTTATTGACTTAACAAGATCTCCGCTTAGAAGAAGCAGTAATTGTATTATTTATTGTTTTTGATGAGCATTATTTGCCTATCTGGTTCTCCTTCTGATATTTGGTCTAAGTTTTTCTGCTTAATTAAAATAAAAACTTTTGTCTTAATGTTTTTCTTACGCCGCTTCTTTATATAAAATTCAAGCATTTATGGCGGCTAAATCTAATATACTGAAAAATGCCTGTAAAGGCTATCTCGGACTTTTAGATTTTATGCTATATTTTCTAGCCATTTGGTTGGTTACATCTACACCGAATTTTGTGCTATTAAAAATCTAATTGTTTCTAGCATCCAAGTATCATTTTTTTCGATTTTGATAGACGAATGCATTAAACTAAGTAAAATACTTTTTTATTAAGTTTAGATTTATAAGTTGTAAAAATGAAATCTTTCGATTTGTATAATATTGTTAAGAATTTTGTCATACCATTCTTTGCCTGTTTTGCTAAATTTAGTAGCTCTTTTTTATTTCTCCGGATAGTTCCAACAAGCGTAGTTCTTTTTGCTAGAAGTTTACTCACTAGTGACGCGCTTGTAAAAAAATTGTCAACTGTTATATTTCTTCCATACCCCGTATATGGTTCTGCTAATTTAAAAGCTATAAACTCTCCAAGTGGAATTGGTGATTCTCTCTCTTCATCTTTTCCGAAATATGGAAAGCCGTTCACCGTATATTTACTACTTACGTCGGAAGTTAACCAAGATTTTATGCCAAATTTGTTCGGCATGTATTGAGTAAATCTACAGCGTGCTTTTGTAAAAAACAATTGTTCATCTATAGCAAGATATTCTTCCTGTTTATAAAAGATTTGACTATTTTCAATAAATTTATACCAAACTTCAGAAATTAATGCGAATTCATCGTTTTGTATGCGATGGCTTCATTAATTTTTGTTGTCAAATCGGATAAATCTCATGATTTCTGCAAAGTCATTTCAACTCATAGTTGTCGAGAAAAGTAATGGACCTCATTTCATGTTCCATAAATATGATAAATTAATATTTTTAGCCTCATATGCGCTACGTGCATATAAAAGTCCAATAAATGCATATAATTTTGCAATAGGTAAATTCAAATTTGTTTTAAACACTCAAAATGCCTCCTATTCCGTATATTCTCTTACATGTTCAAAAATCATTGATAATGCAGATTTAACTTTGCCTTTCATGATATTTCATTTGGCGTATCCTGCCAGCCCTAATATTTCCTTGAAATATTATAAGTCGCTGTTCTTTCACTGTTAGACCCCTCTTTTATTTTTTGCCAAACAGTTCCGTCCGAAACAATTTCAATCCTTTCCTCGTTTTCACCTACCAAACTAACTATAAATCTCTTTCTTTTTTGTCCTCTTCATATATTCAAAATATTCTCTTCATCTCTATATATCGCTGTCAAATAAATCACAACGATTTTCTATAATATCATTATCAATATCGTATATTTCTTGATAATCTTCCGAACAATTCTCGTCGATATTATTTATTTTATTTAACAAATTAATATTCATCGAATGCTTTGACATTTTTGGAGATGAATATTCAAATGATAAAATAAAAACTAAAATATAAAAATATAAATCAAATGGGCAAAAACATTGAGACCAGAAATTAAAAACAATTGTAAACTATACCAAAAAATGTTGTTAGTTCTGATGATTTTGTCGAAATTATTTCTTATACCATGTAATAATTTTTATAATAATATAATTATAATTTCTGTTATAAACTTAAATTTCGATGCTCTCTGTCGTATCGCAAACCCGTACTATCATACAAAAAACGCTATGTCTTTTATTCCAACAATAGCGAAAATGCCATGTATTAATATTAATAGCACATTTGTCTACAATGTAGATACATTGATTAGATAATAGATTGTTTACAATTACATTGTAGACTCATAGAACAATTTCAAGAATGCAATAATTAAAGAATATGGTCGTAACTGATATAATTTTTTCAAATGGTCAAATGACCGTTCGTGGTAGACTAGACATAATATAATTTTTTCTCGGGAAAAATCCAATGAAAAAAGTTGTAAATATAAAAAATATGTTGTATGTATATTTTAATAAAAGTCAAAAGCTACATGATGATA